CTGGGAAACCTCCTTGGTTTACCAAAGAGTTATCCAGTCTAAAAAACTTAAAATCAAGACTTTATACAAAATTTCGAGAAGTTTGTTCTCCCTCTTCTCTTTCTCACTATGTAATAGCTCGGTCAAATTTCTCCGCTCTTAACGCTCAATGCTATAAAAATTTCTTATCTCGATGCAGGTCACGATTTTCACAGTACCCTAAACAGTTTTACAGCTTCGCAGCTTCACATCCATCCTCGCTATCATTTCTCATTATGTCAGCAAACAATGATCAGGAAATTGCCGATCTTTTTGTCAAATTTTTCCAAACAACCTATTCTCATGAAAGCTACTCTGGTCAGCCGTATCCATACAGTTTACCAAGGTCGAATGGAATTTTAGGCCCCTTGTTAAATGAAAGCTCACTACGACGATCAAAAACCACAAGTTTATTAGAGTTCACCTCTTTAATCATTAAAGGCTTCCAAGGTAACTTGCAGACGGATGTCATTTACACTGTTTTCAGTAATGCATTCGATTCTGTAAACCATTCCCTTCTAGCACAAAAACCTGACCTTTTAGGGTTTCCTCCTAATCTTTTGAGATGGATTTCTAGCTACCTTCGTTCTAGATCTCAAAGAGTCCTCTTCAAAAACTCCTTCTCTTCACCTGTTAAGGTTACTTCTGGAGTACCTACTATTCACACTCTTTATTAATGACCTGCCTTTAGTATTAACAAACTCTCGAGTACTCATGTACGCGGATGATGTTAAACTCTGCGTCCCGAATAAGGACATTTAATTTCACTCTCGCTTGCAATCCGATCTCAATAACTTTCAGTCATGGTGTTGTGCAAATATGTTACACCTTAATGCCTCGAAATGCAAAGTAATGAAATTTCATCGCTCAAGCCCCTTTTTGGCTCCTTATAGCCTCTGCGGTGGTTCTCTTGAGAGAATTACCTTCGTTAATGATCTTGGTGTTTAACTAGACCCCAAGTTAAAGTTTTCTGAACACATTTCTACCATGGTAAATAAGGCCATGGGCGTGCTTGGGCTTATAAAGAGGTGGTCAACGAAATTTGACGACCACTATATAACGAAGACTCTCTATATCTCTCTACGGCTCTTGTGTATTGTGCCCCCAGTACAAAGTACACCAGGACCGTATAGAATCAGTCCAGAAAAACTTTTTACTTTTTGCTCTGCGTGGCCTTAACTGAGATTGCTCGTAGATTGCTTTTAATAAACCTTCCAACCTTAGTTAGTCGTAGAAAAATGCTTGGTGTGATTTTTTTGCACAACCTGATCAAGGGTGACGTAGATAGCCCTGACTTGTTGAGCCGCATATTCCTTATTCCTTGCACGAACCATTTAGGGTCCTATGCTCGGACTTCAATTCCCTCTACCATATAATATCCACTACAAATTCCCTTCCTCTTCTTAAATCACTAATACTAACATACCTTTCCCGTAATTAGTTCTATTTCTTAGCTATCTTTACATGTTTAGCTCTAATTTTAGTCTAACACCTATCTTTCCTGATGCTCGCGATCGGTTCGGTAACATGCATCGCGCGTCATGCGGAATTGAAAAATTCGTGTCAAACTTCATATATAAAAAAATGTGGCAGGCATTTTTCGTTTACGTTTCCCTGGCTTAAGTATCCATCAACATGAGCGGAATCCACAGATTTATATCGATAGTTGCCTATCGAGACCGTGTGTGGACTGCAAGAACAGATGATACACAGCTCAGTAACATATGTTCAACGATTATTCCTCAAGTGAAATGCTAGAGTTTGAGCAAAAACTGTGCGCAAAACCAAAAAGGGAGATGCAAATTATTTTTTTTATACCCGTACTCAAAAAAGAGTTAAGGGGTAGTTAGATTTGTTGTAAAAGTGTATGTGTGTAACGCAGAGAAGGAAACGTTTCCGACCCCATAAAGTATATATATTCTTGATCAGCATCAATAGCCGAGTCGATATAGCCATGTCTGTCTGTCCGTCTGTCTGTTTGTCTGTAAGTTTGGTTGAACGCCTAGATCTCAGAGACTATAAGAGCTAGGGCAACCAAATTTGGTTTCCAGACTCATGTGATATCACACTGCTACAAGTGTATTTCAAAATTTCGCCACGCCCCCTTCCGCCTTGTGGCAGGCACAATTTTAAAGATACGATGAAACTAAAAACGCAGTATCATAGAGAATGCCCATATCTACCAGATTGCCGAATCTGAATAAGATCGGATCATAATTATAGCCAGAATGAAGAAATTAATTTTCAGTTGCTTCCCCTGCCCACTCCTGCCAACGACCACGCTACTCATTTTCCTTCTCGCTCGCACACTCTGCCGCGTTCAGTGCGCGAGCAACCCCTAGCGGAGGAGATGTAATATCTAAATGGTACATGTACAATCTACATGTTAGATGTAGAATGAATAGCAAAAAAATTTAAAATGTAAATTTTTTTTTTTTTATTCTAAAATTCTAAAAAATCATAATCTCAAAAATGTATATACTGACTGAGTACGGGTATAAGTAGAGTCGTTCCTTATCGTTTGTTTTGCAACAATATACAGTAGTGGACATTGAAATGTGGACACTCATGTTCGTTGACTTTAAGCCGATGGCGCGAATTCATAAACATCTAAGTCAGTCGGGAAATATTTGTATTGCATAGATACATTCATGAGCTGTTAACTGATGACTTGTTTTCATTTCAAAAAGAAAAAAATTTCAACAAAAAATTAAAAGTATAAAAAATGTTGAAAAAAAACTGAAATTGAGAAGGCAGCCATTTTGTGTTTGCGGTCAAATAATTTTAGTTTTGGCGCTATTAGTACCAAATTTATTATGAGTAAGTCCTCAAAACACAATTTTCTAAAGGATTTCGAAATATTCTGTCCGGTAAAACGACTACCCGGCTCAGGAAGTAAGAGGAAGACCATCCAAAAGGACCTTCAAAGTAGCATCATATTCGTAAACAATTGAGCGTTGAAGATCGGTTCAAAACTATATAAGATATTAGTAGAGAGTTTTTTAAATAAGTAGGTATCGATATTAGCACCGAAGATAAACGGAGGGGTCTTCAGGTCGTGGGCCAGCAATATGACCACTATTAACACTAAAAATGCGACAAAAGAGGATCCAATGGGCCAAACTTCACGAATCTTGGACTGTACAAGATTGGAGAAACGTTATTTTCTGCTCCTTGCCACCTAGCAAAATTGGTAAGTAATATGTCGTTTTAACTTTGTTATTCAATTGTCTATTGATTTATAAAAAAAATTTAATTTGTCACCCATTTTTTTAAATCAAAAATTATTTAAAAGAAGTGGGAATTTCGAAGTTGGAGTGGCCAGGAAATATTCCTGACCTCAACCCGATCGAAAACCTTTGGCACATTATGACGGATTTTGCTACGAAGCAGAGACCCAAAACATTGTCAGAATCGGATAACATAATTGAAAAATCTAAAAAAACTGGTTATCAAAAATAGAGGAGGCGCAACTAAATTTTAATATAACAAATTTTGTATTTCCTGATAGTCGTGTTCTTAAACGCAATAAAAGAAGTTTGGTTTTTCCTTACCAAAAATTTGTAATGAATTTTTTTTGTATATATGAAAATTGTATGAAAAAGTGAATAATTATTGATTTAAGGATTCTTTCGAAAACAAGGAAATTTGTGTTCTAACTTTTGGAGATTTTGGTATTTTAAATTCTTTACTTAGTTAAATAATTTTTTTTTTTCATTGGAATCATACCAAAACTTTCTAAAACTGAAAAAATCACTGTGTGTACACAGTCACGACAAAATTTATATCAATTTTTATTTTCCAAAAGCGTTTTGAGTTTCGTTTCCAGGCTGCGTAAATGTGTGTGTGCCATGTATTCACACATACTGTGCTTGTGTGTGGGCTCTACAATTTTTGGCCGCTTGAACTGAATTTCGGTTTTTCGTTTTGTTTTGGCCGGATTAGCAGTTGCCTAGGGCCCCCCTAGGGATAACAGAAAAATTTTGTTGATAAACAAAACTTCAAATAATGAAGGAACGTGCGAGTCGCTTCTGGGGACGCGACTCTACTTATACCCGTACTCAGTCAGTATATACATTTTTGAGCATACGATTTTTTAGAATTAAAAAAAAACAATTTTACATTTGTTTGCTACATCTGCTATCTACATCTACATCTACAATGTATATTCTACATCTAACATCTAACTGAACGCGGCAGAGTGTGCGAGCGAGAAAGAGATAGGTAGCGGGTCTCTGTCAGGAGGGGGCGGAAGAACCAACAGAAAATTTCATCATTCTGGCTATGATTATAATCCGATCTACATCAGATTCTGCAATCTGGTAGATATGGGCATTCTCTATGATACTGCGTTTTTAGTTTCATCGTATCTTTAAAATTGTGCCTGCCACAAGGCGGAAGGTGGCGTGGTGAAATTTTGAAATACACTTGTAGCAGTGTGATATCACATGAGTCTGGAAACCAAATTTGGTTGCCCTAGCTCTTATAGTCTCTGAGATCTAGGCGTTCAACCAAACTTACAGACAAACAGACAGACGGACAGACAGACATGGCTATATCGACTCGGCTATTGATGCTGATCAAGAATATATATACTTTATGGGGTCGGAAACGTTTCCTTCTCTGCGTTACACACATCCACTTTTACCACAATTTTAATATAACCCTTAACTCTTTTTTGAGTACGGGTATAAAAAAAATTCCTGTCACAGTTTTTTTTATATGAAGTTTGACAGGAATTTTTAGATTCCGCGGTACTGGATACTAGACGCTTTAGACGTCAAATATTTTTACTTCAAACGAAAAAAGTCGATGTTTCATTGATGTTTGCTTTGAAAACATCGACATGGAGGTCCGCGACCATCAATGTTTCTCCACCTCTACTTCGCGGCCTATATTACATACCTTATTGATATTCATATTTAAAGAAAATGAAAAACGCAACAGAATGATGAAATGTTTCTTATATGTTAAGTACTTACTTTACAAACGATGTGATGTCTTCTAAGTCCATTTCACAACCAGGCCACCGGCAAACACCGTGCGCAAAGAGAGGGTGATAGTATTTCCTCATGGTAAATTCATCATGTACATAATCATTTTCATTACTGCATACTTCTTTTTCTTTTGACCTTAAGAACCGCTCAGAATCTGAAAAAATATGCTTTTCCTGCTCCGAAATATATTCAGGCACATTGTAAAAACTATGTTCCGAAATAGGAGCTATTGTGTGTTGACCTTGGGATATATGCATTCGGGAATGTGTTGTGAGTTGACCAGTAGGTATGGATTCATCAAAGCTCGAAATAGGAGAGCTACATTTTACGACATGAGAAGCAAATGATATTGTATTGTTTAAAAATCCAGATTGTTGAAAGCAAGTATTTTTAACGTTGTCTGTGCAAATATCTGGGAGAGAAATATGGTATCTTCTCTCTCTATCCTCATGTTCCTCCTGTTGGACGGCTCCCTCATGACCAGAATCTTTAATGTCTTTAGAAAAATGTTCATCATGTCTCCGGAGCATATTTATAAATCTGTAATACGCACTAAATTAATATGCAATTGAAAATAAAAACAAAATGAAAAAGGTTAGCAGACAACAAAAATATATCTCAGGTATGTGATAAAGTGATTTTTTGCTAAATTATGTATGTATCTGTGCGTATTAGAGTGTTCTGAAATTCCAAAAGTTTTGAATTTTAGGTCGGCTCGGTAATAGCCATATGACATTAGACTTAGACAATTTTGCTGCGTAGAGAGGGATAGCCGTCGTTAGTAGCCGTCTCTAGATATGTCTAATGGCTTTTAGTAAAACAACTGAGGCACTTCTTGACACACAATGATGTTTTCCAGCAGAACACAGACACCAAGCCATCCGCAAAGTAAAGTTTTCGATCAGTTCTGCCGCAGCACTGCTCCCAGCTCAACTGGACAGCTTGAAGCATATAGTTCTCTCGCTCTGACTGCAGGCATTTCCCATAAGGCCATCTTTGTTTTTTCAGCTAGTCAGTTAGCAAAGTGTAATGTCATATGGCTATTATAGCCATAGTGCCTCAGTTGTTCGAATAAAATCCATTAGACGTGTCTGGAGACGGATACGAACAATAATGTTGCATTTTGTCTCTAGCGCTATCCCTCTCTACGCAGCGAAATTGTCTAAGTCTAATGTCATATGGCTATAATAGAAATTTGTTGTTGGAGCAGCAGCAGAATAGCATAGAATAGCATAAGCATAAGTATAAGAGTTAGATTGTTACGCTCAGTCGCTGTTAGACCTCTCCCAGCATGTTCGATCGGCTCCCTTCTGGAGTGGGGCGAACGCTTGCATCGCTGGCTGCGACCAGTGGATGTGAATTGAAAAGCTGCTGTTTGTTTTAATTTCGCTGACACCAAATATCACCGATTCGGAACCAACCACCAAAACCTGCTGGTCAGCGTCATCCCTTAACCAAGTTTCGTTCCGGAAAAAACATTCCGGATTTTTCATTGGCGCCCGAGCAGGGACATCGGTTTTCAGCATTTTCGTGGAAATTCGCAAAACAAAAACAATAAACAGTGCATTTTCGTCGACTCGGCACAAGTTACTGATGTTTTTTTTTAGTCTTTGTGCGAATCAAGCTCTAGCTGTCTGGTCTGCGTCATCTGGTTCATCGTCATATTAAGGAAAGTTCGTCGGAAAATTCAATGCCGAATTTACAGGTATTCTATTTATATTTATATGTGGAACTCAATGAGGTCCATAGTGAGGTCCCACTGTACCCGCTAATCAGAAGCAACGGAACGGGCATTGCCTCTGTTGTCAATTCTCTTTTATCAAGTACCGCTTCTTGGTGGTCTATTGGCTTCGGTAACGCTATCGTTGTGTATAGTTTGGCGACGTTTTGGTTGTTTGCGCTGACAGCATAATTTTTTTTTCGTCTCTTTTGCTGTCGCCGCATTAACCCATTAAGGCCGATACACAGTCTTTAGACATTGCTGTGTCGGTGCTTGTGTAATTAATTTTGGATAATAAACTCGGGCAGTTTCGGCTGTGTGCGTTGGCATCATAATTCTGTAACGTTGTAACGTTGCGATCGCTGCATTAAACCGTCAATAAAGAATTTTGGGAAACTTATTTTTTTTTGGTTTGGTGGTTATTTGAAATTAGCTCGTTAAATACTTTGCGTCACCCTCATATCAGCCTTTTTGAACCGTGCCAAAACCTGCGCATTAGTTTTCGACTTTAGTAATTTGAGTAATCGTGTCAAAATGAGTGAAAAAGAGAAGGAAGTCGTGGCCAAGAAAGGAGGGTCCAAGCTCAGCCAAAAGTTACTGACGGTAATGCAGAAAAACGACAAGGTGATGAACGACATTAGGCGACAGAAAACGGCTTTTGAGGAAAAAACTATATCGTTTGACCGTTTGCAAATTGAGTGCAGATTATAACTGATCACACATTATTGCGACAAGTTAATGGACATTCAGGCAGATGTGGACTCGTTGAATCCAAGCAACGATTTAAGGCAATGGTCGAAGATGTGTGTATTACCACGAGGGCTATGTATATGTCCGCAGTAAAACAACCTGAGAGTCAGCAAGAACATAGAACAATATAGAACAAATATCGCTGCGATCAGCGTCATTCGTCACACCTGCCGAAAATGAATTTGCCTAAGTATAGTGGAAAACATTCCGAATTTAAAAACATCATTAGCAGGTTTGAGAGTTTGGTGCATATCGACCCATCGTTAACGAATGTGGAAAAGTTCAACCACTTGCTGGCGTGTCTCACTGATGATGCATTGGGCACAGTGAAGGCGTTCCAAATCTCTGAGAGCAATTATGAAAAGGCTCTGGACAGCTTAAAGAATGTTTACGACAATAAGTGTTTGATCTTTTTTGACATTCCCTAAATAACAAAACCCTTTGCTTCATGCCTGAGGTCCCTCATTGACACGATGTCTGCCCTCTACTCCTCTCTGCAGTCGTTAGGAAGTGAGAAGGACCTAAATAGTGCACTGTTGATTCATATAGTAATGTCTAAAGTAAATCATACGACAAAATCACGATTCGAAGAGCAATTGGAATACGAAAAATTGCCGTCGTGTTCCGGACAGTTCCAATATGCTAGGGCACTGCCAGATTCCGGCTCCCGAATAAATTCTATTTCCGAGGATCTCGCACAGCGCCTTAGACTGCACCGTGAAGAGTCATGCCTTAGTATCACAATTGTTGGAAAAAGTTCGTCCGTCGTAAAGAACAAGGTTCACATGTCCGTCCAACCTCGTGTCAACGCCTCGTTTCAAGCCTGCCAAGGCCGACTTACTGCTAGGGGCAGAAACCTTCTTCGATATGTTTAGGCCAAATAAAGCCAAGTTCCGAACATCCATCAATCCAAAAAACATTGTTGGGCTGGATTGTGTCGGGAAAATATACTGCATCAAAGCAGGATGTTGTATGCAATAATGCTATTGGTAGCGAGACGTGTTCTCTCTGGTAAAGCGCTTTTGGGAATTAGAACATGTCCCAGAGAAGTCGAAGGCTGTACATACAGTTGAACAGTTGGCTTGCGAACGCAACATCAAGCAGACATCACGCAGGCCTGAGTCGGGTCGGTTCGAAGTAAAGTTTAAAGTGAATCCCAAGGTTTTTAGTTTCTCTTTCGAGACGGCAAAACGCCGCTTTCTATCCCTGGAACGCGGAATCGTGAGTGGTCAGTACCTGCATGGCATGTATATGGAGTTTATGAAAGAGTATCTCAACCTTGGTCAGGCACTCCTCCAGGACACCATTACTATATTCCGCATCAATGTGTCCTGAGACCTGATAGCAGCACCACCAAGCTCCATGTCGTCTTCGATGCATCGAGTAAAGCTTCAACTTCAATCTCTTTAAACGAGACTGATGGTGGGAGCTACTATTCAGAGGGAGCTTTTTGCAACTATTGCACGATTTCGACTTAACCGGTTTGCGCTTACAGCGGATATCTCCAAGATGTATAGGCAAGTGCAGGTTGCTGAAGAAGATCGAAATTTTCAATTAATAGTGTGGAGGGTGAAAGCAAATATCGATGTGCATACTTATCGCCTGAATACGGTCAGGTATTCAGTACGATGTCTCGCTGAGTTAGCAAAAGTCTATGCTAAGTCCCATCCTGTGGCCTCGCAATTCATAGCAAATGACTCTTACGTTGATGATATGCTGACAGGAGCAAATAGTCTGGAAGAACTAGAATTCGGAAGGAAGTGAGTGAGCTCCTGGAAACAGGGGGTTTCATTTCGATTTCGAAGACTTTTATATCTCGCTTGTTCGTCCGATTTTAGAGTACGGCTCTTGTGTATGGTGCCCCCAGTACAAAGTACACCAGGACCGTATAGAATCAGTCCAGAAAAACTTTTTACTTTTTGCTCTGCGTGGCCTTAACTGAGATTGCTCGTAGATTGCTTTTAATAAACCTTCCAACCTTAGTTAGTCGTAGAAAAATGCTTGGTGTGATTTTTTTGCACAACCTGATCAAGGGTGACGTAGATAGCACTGACTTGTTGAGCCGCATATTCCTTATTCCTTGCACGAACCATGGCCTTATTTACCATGGTAGAAATGTGTTCAGAAAAATTTAACTTGGGGTCTAATTTAACACCAAGATCATTAACGAAGGTAATTCTCTCAAGAGAACCACCGCATAGGCTATAAGGAGCCAAAAAGGGGCCGGAGCGATGAAATGGTATTACTTTGCATTTCGAGGCATTAAGGTGTAACATATTTGCACAACACCATGACTGAAAGTTATTGAGATCGGATTGCAAGCGAGAGTGAAATGAAATGTCCTTATACTGGACGCAGAGTTTAACATCATCCGCATACATGAGTACTCGAGAGTTTGTTAATACTAAAGGCAGGTCATTAATAAAGAGTGTGAATAGTAGGTACTCCAGAAGTAACCTTAACAGATGAAGAGAAGGAGTTTTTGAAGAGGACTCTTTGAGATCTAGAACGAAGGTAGCTAGAAATCCATCTCAAAAGATTAGGAGGAAACCCTAAAAGGTCAGGTTTTTGTGCTAGAAGGGAATGGTTTACAGAATCGAATGCATTACTGAAATCAGTGTAAATGACATCCGTCTGCAAGTTACCTTGGAAGCCTTTAATGATTAAAGAGGTGAACTCTAATAAAATTGTGGTTTTTGATCGTCGTAGTGAGCTTTCATTTAACAAGGGGCTGGAAATGCCATTCGACCTTGGTAAACTGTATGGATACGGCTGACCAGAGTAGTTTTCATGAGAATAGGTTATTTGGAAAAATTTGGCAAAAAGATCGGCAATTTCCTGATCATTGTTTGCTGACATATTGAGAAATGATAGCGAGGATGGATGTGCGGACGTTCTACGCTTACTATTAGGGTCCTGTGAAAATCGTATCCCGCATCGAAATAGGTCATTTTTTTATAGGTAGGAGTCTTCAGGTATAGTGAGAGGAAGGGCTAGGGTTAGCAACGCTATGTTCGGATCAGAGACAAAGCACAGATCAAGCAATCGACCCGAGGAATTTTTAACCTGATTGAC